CTCCTCTTTTCACTCCTCCTCAGTGTGCCTTACCAGAACCACTGGGTGATCAGTCTAGCTACAGAACAGGATCGTTTGAGAAGGTTTTCAAAGTAAAAGTTTGGTTTAGAAACTGTCGCAGTTTGCATGTGAAAGCACGAAAGGAATAATGCTGGTGGATACAGCTTAAAAGCTGTTCCTGCTTTTTACCAAAAGTGAAGTTTCTTAGATGGCAGACCTGGATCAAGTGCAAGATTAGTTAGTACCTCTAACAGAAGTTTTCAGGCACCGACAGAGAGTTTAACAGCAGTGCTGCAAACAAAAAAACAAGCAAACCAACACTTCATATGTTGCAAAAGAAAACCTTCATAGAAAATTTGTGTCATTTTAGCTCTCGCAGTCTAAGGAAATATGTAAACATTTGTAGGAGATGGTGCTATCTGTATTAAATTGTATTAAAGTTGAAAGAGGATGAGAAATAAAAAAACCTTTTCCATATAGCACACTCACTTCATGAGCTATTGATTCAGCCCTGGAAAAGGTGCTCAAAAGTCTGCATGTTTCTTCCAATATTACTAGCTAATTTGCTACAAGATACTGCCTCTCCCAACAAATATTATCTCTGTAATAACGAAAAGGGCAGTTTTATTTTTTGTGTTTTAGGCACCATCTACAAGCATTTCACATAGCTAGAATACAGCAGAAAATCCCATGGATTCCCTTCAGATCTCTTTATACAGTCTCGCCGATTTTATTTCTGCCTCCTATGTTTTTCTACGTGTGGCACAGAACACAGCAGGCTAAGAAAACCCTACCGCAATTATAATTTTCACAGAGACAAGACCTTCTAGATGTGCTCCTTCCAAATGTGATGAGTAGCACAGGTCTTAATGATACCCACTTGTCCACTACATCAGTGGTATCCAAACCCTTTTATCATACACCCCATCAAAAAAATGTTTTCAGCATGCACCCCCTATGACATGTATTTTTTAAGAATCATATGCAGGTACTACTATATTAATATATTATGTATATTATAAAACATACACAAAAATATAAATTAAAAAGGGATGAGATAATATTTGTTTTATTACATGTACAAAAAAAATTTTCTTCCCACACCTCACTTTGGAGATCACTGCTCTCGGTATGAAACTATTTCAACGTACTCCGATGCACTGTCTCAGTGCCCACAATTTCACCTGAATCAGTTCTACCCTCTCCCCTCTTTGTGCAGAGGTGAAACTTCTGTCGGTTACCATTCATCTGGTTACCTCCGAGCCCGCCTTCGCCTAGGTTAAAGTATAGTGGGGCAGTTTCAGCCAATTTGGTGGGGTTCTTTTGGTTGTTTTTTTTTTTTTTAATTAGATCTGCAAATCTCTATTCCTTACAGAAAGTTTTTGAAGCACAATCATTTAGAAACCACTACACTTTCTTTTACAGCCAAATGAACCTCTGTTCCTTTTCAGCATTTATCATCATTAATAATTCACAGGTACGTAGCTTATTGTATCTAGATGCCTGTGCTTATATAAAAGCACATGTGCAAGTTGGAATAAACCTACATTTAAAGTATCAGTAAAATAGAGAATGTAAAAAACATTGAGAAAACAAACCGCACACCTTGCTACCAGAAAAGCTGCGATTGCAGAAACATGTAAGGGGAGTGTGTGTGTGTAACAAACTACTTCAACAACCCTGCTTACTTCCTGTGCAGGTTGTTCTGCTGCACATCTCTTTTACTGGTTTTGCCATAAAATGAGAAGGCTACCATAATATCACGAGCATCACAGAACCGTGAACAAAGACATGAAATCTTCTCCCTTGCCAGCGTTAGAAATACCTCAGTATTTCCTGCGAGGAAGATGTGAGGAATGGTACAAACACTGACACGACAAACTTCACAGGCACGTTTGAGGCAGGCAGGACCATCAGAGAGAGACACACTCTAAAGTCGAACCAGCCAAACGCACAGCCACGATTACAGTCATGAGCGTGTGGCTACAAAAGCTTTGGGTTCACTCTCAGGTTCATAACTACTCAGCACTCCACGGCTGCATTTTTTCAGACTGTCTCAGCAGAGCTCCATCAAGGGCTGGACAAGATGGGTACCCCAAATGGAAGAACGTACACCCAAGCCAAGCCAGGAGCTCTGCTTCAGCAGAAAATTTTGTTTGGGAAGAGGGTTTGCATGTGTCTGGTGGGGTCTAGGAAGAGGAAAGTGGTGGGGAAATCTAGGAGGGGGGTGAGGAGAGGGCAGAGGCTGTCTTCCCGGTGACAACACATCTCACCACATCTTTTGGATCGTAGCACATCACGTGCTGAGCTTCCTGGAGTAGCTATGCAGAAGTGTTATGAGGGGAATTTCTGTGTGGTGAGCATTTTTGAGAGCTTGGCTCTACCTCAGGGAAATGAGCTCTGGGAAGAGTCAGACCCTACATCACACCTTAAGTGAAACAGTACCACATAAAAAACCCACGAGAGTTACAGACTACCTACAAATACGCCTGCTGCTGCTTCACTCGGAGAATTACAAATCGCTTCATTATTCATGACAATGCTATGTACTATCTTTGCAAATCTTCTGTCCAGATAAGGAAGTGTCACATCTGTCATACGGCAACACACAGCGACATTCCCAAGCCTGTTCAGAGCATTCAAGAAATACAGAGCATACGCAAGAGAAAAGAGTGGATCCCTGTTGGAAAAGGTTTACTATCTGATTTTTTACTTTAGTAGGTAAGGCTGTTAAACTACAGGGAGACAACAAAGCGAAGAACGGCAAACACAAGAATACACATGCTTATCTTTATGGTTCCACTAAGCTTTTTAAAAAGTTACTCACTTTTCTATCTGCTCCAGGATGGGAAAAGGGAGAAAATGAATTTCAAGGAGCATGTGGTGGTGTGAGATGGAGGAAGAGAAGTTTGTGCCTGATTTTTAGAGCTTGCAACTGCATGTGAGCTGTTAGGATCTAAGTGCAGAGTAAAATAACACATAAGTCCATCTTTGCAAAAGAGGCAGAACTCTTATACTGCAGATAGTAAGGTTGAGCTGATGGAAAGAGAATGCCTCTATTTCCCAGTGCTTTTTGGAAGAAAAAAACTGAAACACATTCCTTGAAGCAGAAATAAGCAAAGATGACACCAAACTCACCTCTGCACTGAATCTATCAAAAATAATTTCTGTGAACTGTAAGGTACTTGGGCATTTTTACACGACACTTAACTGAAAAGTACATATATCTTTTGTAATCTTCAGACAGCCAGAAGATGATTTTTCGCCTATGCTTTCTTACAGATTCACACTTAATGTCTGTGGTATACAAACCGGTAATCAAAACCAGGGTTTTTTTATACACCTTGATCTTTTTTTCAGAGTTGGTGATGGCTGAATTACACATATCGAGATAACTAAATCCCTACAGATTCCATGAAAAATAGCCAGCTGGAGTCCGCTAGTGCCCTACTGATAGGAAGGTAGTGGTACATAACTAACTTCTTACTAGTCATCAGCATTACCTACACAAGAGGGAGTCCCCACCTAAATATCCCATGATCCAGCAGTCAGTCATTTCACAGCAGGTGGCTGCTTTTCCAGGCACCTGGAAGTCTACCAGGTACCTGCCACACAGGAGCACATAACCTGAGCACTGGCAGAGTGAATCTGAGGGCATCCAGACTGCACTTGATGGGATAAATTTGCTGCCTAAGCGATTTGGCATTGCTCTTTGCCCATGGAGACACAACATGGAGGCAATCTATCTGCCCAGGGCTCAAGCACACTCTGAGAAGCAATTTCCGTAAAGCTTTGAGAATCCTGAAGGCACACCTGATCTGTGAACGTGCAGGTGGGAGAGAGAGGACGGAGAAGATGAAATTATCTGCATAAGAGGAAGGATTATGAAGGCCAGTGATAGAAGTTTCAAATTAGTATGCACTGCACAAAGCTGTAATAAATTCAGTAGTTTAAGAAGTGAGAATTTTCGTTCGATTTGTGCGACGTTGCAAGGGCTGTCTGTAAGGTAAGCCACAGCTGAAGCAGTACTGATACTGCAAATGAAAGATGCAGGAAATCAGAGGTCTTTGAGAGAAGCAAGCACTGTACATAACCAGCTCAAGAGCCATGTGGGCTGCGCATTCAGAAGGAGAAGGAACAAAGCACGGCTCTGGAGATCAGGACTGCGGCTGACAAAGAAGACTGTGCAGGGATGGGAACATCAAGTCAAGTCTCAAATTGCAGAAGAATACATGACACACCAGAAAACTGTCTTCTAAGTTTCTAATACATTCATAAAGTTGGGTGTGGGGAGTCCAGGGCTTGGGGAACTGGAGAGGCTGCAGGGCAAGACAGGGGCACTGGCAGAGCAGTGGAGAGCCTGGGGCTGGTAGAAACCAACTAATTACGGGCCAGAATGGAGATAGTAGTTTTAAGGGGTTTTCCCTAAATATGTTTCTATGAGAGAATTACTCTTGACAGAAAACAACAATCATAAAAGGTCAAAGAAAGTAAAAATCTCCAAGTCTCAGAAAAGATGAACTTGCCCTGAAAAGCAATTTATACAAAATGTTTTGAGTACAGATAAAGAATGTAGCACCTGAATTCACTGTTCTCTGACTTCTTGTGAGCTGGTACAATCTTGAATCTCTGTAAACTAGCAATATCCTGTCCTAAAAAGTAAAAAGTTCAGAATCTTGAAAACTACCTTCCCTCCCCCCCAAATAAGAGCAAAACCTGGTGTGCTTATACAGGCAAATGCAAAAAGAAGATAAAATCAGTAAAACTAAACCTGATTTTAAAAAAAGAAGCAAGTGTTTATTCTGAAGACAAGGTTTTGACTAATCAGAGACTCTTGTTGCTTGTTCGCTGCCCACGTGATTGGCTAAAAGCATGTAGATTACCCCCCTAAAACCACTTTTTTCCTCCCCCTACTCCTCCCCCCTCACTTGCTAACATGTTTTTAAAGACGACCTTGAAAGGGAGGGTAGGGGTAGCTCAGAGACTTCCTCAGAGCAAGGATGAGGACAGCTTGGCCAGAAATGGAACTCACCCAGCTTTCGCCCGTAACGACAGTCACGTTTAACTATGACTACTACTATGATGACAACTGCCAGTATCAGCATCTGCAACACATGTCTACTTTCCTCCCTATCCTGTACACTGCTGTGTTCCTGGTGGGCATCGTCGGCAACTCCATCCTGATAGTAGCCTTGGTCTTCAAGCGACGGGTCCAGAGGCTGATCGACATCTTCATCATCAACCTCGCTGCATCTGACTTCGTCTTCCTCATCACGCTGCCGTTCTGGGTGGACAAGGAGGCGTCGGACGGGAGCTGGAGGGTAGGATCTTTCCTCTGTAAAGCTAGTTCCTACGTCATCTCAGTCAACATGTACTGCAGCATCCTCCTCCTCACTTGCATGAGTGCCGACCGGTACCTTGCTATCATGCATCCTTCTATTGCTAGACGGGTCAGAACAAGGTCCTACTCCAGTGGACTCTGTATCTGTGTCTGGCTATTATCCTGCTGCTTAGGGATGCCAACCCTTTTGTCCAGAGAACTGAAGAAGCAATATGGAAAGACTTACTGCACAGACAAAGCTGTGACAGAAGCCAAACAGATCATGTCACTGATGCTTTTAATCCTGGCCTTCTTCTTCCCACTGTTGAGTATCTTAACCTTTTACTGCTCCATCACCAGGAGACTCTGTGTGCATTATCAGAGAGCTGGGAAACATGATAAGAAACTGAGAAAATCCATCAAGATCGTCTTTATTGTAGTGGCAGCTTTTGTTATCTCCTGGGTTCCCTTCAATCTTTTCAAGCTTATGGCCATCCTTTTGGGACTCTTGAAGCAGCCCGACTGTCTTCCCAACACGGTGGCCCAGGTGGGCATGAAGGTGAGCAGCCCTTTGGCTTTTGCCAATAGCTGTGCCAACCCTTTCATTTACTATTGCTTTGACAACTACATCCGCAGAGCCATGCTCCGGTGCCTGTGCCCACGGGTGAAAATCAGCAGCAGTGGCAGCAACTCTGATACTACGGACACTCGCCTGAGCCACTCCTTATCCAATTTTGTTGTTGGGGAGTATGCTGCTAGGAAGAGGAAGCGCTCTGTGTCCCTCTGACTGGGAGCCAGGACTGCGGAGGAAGGAACTTCTCTCTCCAAAGATGGCAGGAAAACAATAAAGCGAGAGAAACCAAAAAAAAGTAACGAGCGGTGGGAGGAATGCTGCCTCCCTTTGAACGCAGATAGATGGAATAGGAAACCTTAATGACAGAATTACGGTTCGAAGTGATCGCTGTGTCACTGCACAGTGTAAATCTGAAACCATTCTACGGAGAAACATCCACAAACGCTTACACTGGGACTCGAGTACAACTGCTACAAACGTCAGAAAAGAATCACGATTCAGTCAAAGCCGCTGCGAGGCAAGCTTTGAACTTTAATGTACACAGGTTTGTATTCCGTGCAGAGCAAGAAAAACAACACAACAAAAGTGTTATCTTCTCCTTGGTTCCTAGCTTCACCACAAACGTGTCGCAGTGTCCACAGACCAACCTGGGCAATTCTGGGGGTTTTTGGAGGTTTTCTGAATTTAGAAATCCAAAGTTTCAATGAATTTGTGTGTTACCAGTTCTCATAACTTGAGTCTTGTACATTTTTCTTTACATCTTAGCTTCTTATTTTGGCATTAAATCTCAGTTTAATCACAATAATTAAAGTCTCTAGCCCCTGTGTTTTCAGAAAAAAGGTAACTTGAAGGCAGAAAAACCAGAACACAAGCAAAAGAAATCCTGCATTTAACCTTTTTCTTAAAGGAAAAAAACAACGAAAAACCACTCGTGCTATTTAAGACTTTTCCGGGAATTTGACACAATTTCTGACTGCTTGGGTTGTCATATAATGGCCCAACATTGTGTGCCATTCAAAGTCCAGGTCTGCTTTGTTTAGTTGCAACCGGTATGCAGTAGGCCTATTTTCTCCCACTGGAGTCAAAGTCAAATGCAAATGTGCCTGAAAAGTATAATTAGCCAGAGCTTCACAAACATTTGTGAGGATGTTTGTGAGAAACACGGAGAATCACAGAGAATGCTGAGAAAACCTGGGTGCAGGGATGCTGCCAGAAAAGGAATTCAAAAGGAGCAATGTTTTAGTTCATTTACAGAGTCGAACTCTGTAAATAAAATAGCTCTACAAAGTTGGCTCATTCCTATCCAGGAATCTTTAGGAAATGCAGAGGTCTTGCATTTAATATGGTGTGGGGAAGATAATCACTTGCCCAACTGGTCTCAAGTCTGACAGAAAATGGGGTGAGGAAACAGAGAAAGATCCGTATTTTTAAGAGCTGTAATACCTCCTAGATTTACGAGGTGAAGAAATATGTAGCAAGGAGTTAAGCAGCTCATCAGAAAACTGGTACTGTACTTTTATAAAGCTGACTAGATTTATTTTATTAAATCTTTCATATCCTTCTAATTGCCAATAATTCATAGAAATGTTTGCTTAAAAGAAAGAAACCAGAGTACAATGTTTTGAAGTGCATGGTTAAAATAAGAATTAAACTTCCAACAGCACTGGGATATGTTGGCTGTGTTCCAATATCTCATATTCTGTTGTCTTCTTTGTTAAATGTTTAGCTTAATATAACACTGCTTGACATAAATATAATAAATCAGTATCATAAAGCATCCAAGATGTGTAATGTGACTAAGTCAAAAGACTGTTAGAAACTTTCCTATTTCCTGATTTTTAAAGGTTTTTATCTCTCTTCTCTTTCGCACTTAGCTTTTGAACTAGCTTTCACCAAACCCACAAAGGTGTTGACTAGTGGCAGAAGTCATCATATCACTAAGTAAGCAAACAAAAAACATGGAAACAAATCCTGAATTGCAATAAGTAAAATATTTTTAATGGTACTTACAGTCCTGCAGAATAAAACAAATTCGACTTTGCCAGTGAAAGAAAAGAGTCAGCAAATACACATCTTTGGGTCTACTTTTTAAGATACAAAATCAGCTGGTAACAACTTGCATGCAATTTGCTATACAGCAAACCCCGTATGATTTTACCAGGTAGCAGTGTTTCAAGTTAAGTTTTAAGAGCTTGAGTCTGTGTTCCCTTTTCCCAACTTTGCCAGGAAAGGAATAAGCTGGCACACAAATCCATACTGTGACTGACCACAGGGACTCAGAGACCAGTCTCATAAACAAAAAGATTTGCAGCAATAGTCCCTGGTTCACTTTGATCACCAGAGAAGAACGAGACTTTTACATCTCATTGAAGCTAAGAATTGTTTCCTAGGCAATCAGATGCAGGACATTGTTCCTAGAATAACAATGAGCCATTTTACAAATCTATGGAAAGTTACTTTTATGCTAATTAGGTCTAACTAAAAAGAGTTACTGTCTGCTACTTTAGGCCACAGTGAGTTTTAAGGTGAACGGTTACACCCATGCAGACCTGCTAAAAGGCTTCAAAGGGAAGACAGCTGTATCAGCTAACATCATCCACCAGAAACAGAGCAACGGGCAAAGCTTGAACTGCTGGCTGGACAGCGGGGAAAAAACGTGTAAACTTAACAACAGGAAGAGGTATCCCTCTGATGTAAGCACAGCACGAGTATAGAATCACAGAATCATAGAATCATTCAGGTTGGAGAGGACCTGTAAGGTCATCAAGTCCAACCATCAACCCAATACCACCATGCCCACTAAACCATGTCCTGAAGTGCTACATCAACATGTTTTTTGAACACTTCCAGGCATGGTGACTCCACCACTTCCCTGGGCAACCTGTTTCAATGCTTGACAACTCTTCCAGCAAAGAAATTTTTCCTAATGTCTAATCTAAACCTTCCCTGGCGCAACTTGAGGCTATTTCCTCTCATCCTATTGCTAGCTACCTGGGAGAAGAGACCAACACTCACCTCGTTACAATCTCCTTTCAGGTAGTTGTAGAGAGCAATAAGGTCTCCCCTCAGCCTCCTTTTCTCCAGGCTAAGCAACCCCAGATCCCTCAGCCGCTCCTCGTAAGACTCAGGCCCCAGACTTCTCTGGACACGCTCCAGCACCTCAGTGTCCTTCTTGCAGTGAGGGGCCCAGCACTGAACACAGTATTCGAGGTGCAGCCTCACCAGTGCTGAGTACAGGGGACAATCACTTCCTTTGTCCTGCTGGCCACACTATTTCTGATACAGGCCAGGATGGCTTGAGCAGATGGAGAGCTGGCACTACAGGGTCAGGGGAGGCAAGTGTGACTTTCAGCAATTGCTGGTGACACCGGTAAGATGCTGGGATGTGTGCTTGGGCTAGGAGGGGGTCATCACAGAGACACACACTAGCTTTTTGCTCTCTCCTCTCTTCACTGCATGCATTTTTTTTTTCTCCGCCACTACCTCTTCTAAAAGATTTTGGTTTTCATCCTCCACGTGACAGACTTTTCTGCCCACACCTAATGGCCTAACTCCTTTTTCAGGCTTACAAATGCATGAAGAGCATCAACTGTTTTCAGACCTTCCAGTATTTGAAAATCAGAACAGTGTCAGTTCAAATTTTCATCTTATTTGCAGTGACCCTCAAAAACTACTGTCTCAGTAGTCCTCTCAATCTCTTTTCCTCCCTTTACCTTTACTAGTACATAACAAGACTTCAATTACGTAAAGAAGCCTAAGATGTGCATTTCAACTAACGTATGATTTTTCTTACAGAAAAAACTCACATCTTAGTAAGTCAGACTCACTCATTATTTCCTCAATCCCCATCCAAAGCAAAACAGCATCTTTGCACATCAATCAATCTACAAGACTTTAAATAATTTTAAGTTAGGGTTGCTGGTTTCTTTTTTTTTTCTTTTTTTTTTTTAAATACTTCAAAATACCAGATAAATTGGAACAACAACTAAGGAAATCTACCAAGATCTCCTTGCATTGCCTAAAGCTTTAGTACTGGCATCTCAGAAAAACCCAAACTTGCTAAATATTGCCAGGCTTGAAAAGGCACATATAAATGTGACAGCAAATGCTCCACATGAGCAGAAAAAAATACAAGAGAGACAACTAATTCAACAAAGCAAAACTGTCCAGATTCTTTTAGGCTTTCATCCAAAAGACCACACCCTATGAAGGTGCTTATTTTACTCTTGTAAACTGCAGATCTATTTGACATTTTCATGACAGTATAAACATTATTTTCAATTATTTCTTTCAAAGCAAAGGCAACCTATGCTTGAACAAACTTACTTCTGGAATTTTGACTATTCCATATTAATATTCATTATTCGTTTGTTAGCTCTAATACAGCTTAGGACGATATCAAAATTATTTTTAAGTATTTAACCTGGTAGACTTGAGTAATGTAACAGGACACCTATTTTATCCATGTTAAAAGACTTAATGACTGTAAAGTGGTTTGCTATGTGAAATGGAAATGGTGCAATTTTGGTATGACACTTGCCAAAGATCTTGGTAAGTAATTTGGACTGGTTTTTTTTCCCCCACTTTTATTATTTTAAAATAAACCTGATATGATTGCAGCTAAGAAATATGGTTTGATTTTTTGTATTCCAACTTCTCCTTTCATTGTCAAGAAAAGGTAGCAAAGCATCACTGGGAAATCTGCCAGCAGATCAGGATGGGAACATCCATCCGCCCATGCCACAAATCTTTTCATGATTTCACAGATGTTTTGTACTGCCTCGGAATGAAATCAAGACCTTTTGAGGTTTTTCATGAGAACAATTACACCTCCAGCATCACCCCAACAATCTAGAGGTTGGTGTACTTTCCTGAGATGTGCACACAGTTGAAGTGCCTCTGCCTCTTGATATAAATCAGGAGCTGGATAGATGCAACTCTTGGTCTCCATTTTGGCTTCAATGAATCAGTATTTTTCAAAAATTAAAAGTATTTAATCTCAACACAAAGAAAAATTGTACCCAGATCTGATGCTTACTTAAACGGGCAAAAAATTTTTGCAACCTTCATTTCAGCAGCAGACGTGTTAACACCGACAACTGGGCTGCCAATAAATGGTACTTGGAGTTGCAGAGGACTGAGGAGAAAGTCACGCAGGGAATAGCTTCAGATCCAAAATGAGCAGGGCCAACTTCCTGCCCTCAAACAAGTAA